ATGTGATGGCCACAGCTGTAGGTCTTCCTGTTTTTATTTACATCCAAAGAAAATAAACCTGTGAAAGCCGTGTGTTTGTCTCCAGGCAAAGAGAGCTGTTTTGAGCGTATAGTCTCCCGCTTTGGCTCTAACATTACATATGTTGTGATTGGCGATGGGAAGGATGAGGAGCATGCTGCCAGCCAGGTAAACAAACAACCTGTGAACCTTGACCCCTCTGACCATGTGACCCTCCTTCCTCCCCTTGTTTATTTGTTTTTTGCAGGAAAAGAGAGTTGCTTTGAGCGCATAATGCAAAGGTTTGGCAGGAAAGTAGTGTATGTTGTAATTGGGGACGGTGTGGAAGAGGAACAGGCGGCCAAAAAGGTAATGGAGCCCCAGCGACCTTTACCGTGACCCCGCCTACTCCGCAGTGTGAGCTCTGATTGGACGAAACCTGCCGTTCTCTGTTGCAGCAGTTTTTGTGTTTGGTCTTTGACTTTCTCGGGTCTCCTGGCTTTTTTTTTTTTTTTTTTTTTACTTGTTTTTGTTGGACGGGACTTTTGGAATGAGTTCCAATCTGGCTTGGCTTATTGTGTATATTGTTGCACCTAAAACTCACATTTTAAATGAGATTGGCTTGTTTCTAACATTTATTCCTAATCAGATCTACACGTTGACCCAGATGTACCCAGTAACCAAGCTTTGAGCGCTTTTTATCCAGTGACTGTTTATGAGGACTACTCTTGAATTAGTGATTTGTTGTAATCTGACTTGACTTAAATGTGTTTTCTTCATAATCTGATTTATTTCCTTTTCAGCTTTGGGTTTAACCCTCCTGTATCCCTTCAATAAAAAATAATGAGGCTTAAACGTGGGTCATTTTGACCCAAGGGCAGCAGGGGGCTTGGGTTTCAGATGCAAGGGTGTTGGGTAGATGAGGCATTTTGGTGAATAACCCTCATTTACCATTTTACCCAGATGACGTAAAAGGTTAAATCATGTCATCTGGACCAGTTTAAGTGAGAAACATTTAGTCTCCCATCCAGAGGACTTTGTCAGTCTGTGGCCTGCCAACCAGATCTATCCCATAGGTAGCCTTCACTGCCGTTTCAAGCCAACCTCCTGTGAAACTGGTCCAGATGACGATTTAATCTTTTTTTTTTTTAACCTACCTGATGATTCAGCTTACAAAACCTTTACCAGACACGTTTACACCGGAGTCAAACCAGTTGGTCCCCATTTAACACGTTCTAATGGTACAGGAACGTGCATATTTCCCAAAGTGCTTTATGTTAAATTGCATGGGTTTGCGGTGCTAGCAGCTTCAAGCTACTGTAGTGGTGTAGCTTGCATGGGTTTAGGTGGTGGTTTGTTTCAAGCAGAATCACTGGTTTTAATGGTGTGTGTCTTCACAGCACAACATGCCCTTCTGGAGGATATCCAGCCACTCGGACTTGCTGGCTTTACACCAAGCACTGGAGTTTGAATACCTGTAAGGACGGTAGAACATGGACTTATGCAATGTTACCATGGAAACAGCCCTTTTTTTTTGTACAACTATTTAAGAACAAATACTAGACTGCAACTTTTTTTTTTTATCTTTTCAATGTCTGGATTTACAAACTCTTAATGGTCTTAAACAAAGAGGTTGGAGGAGGTAAAGAAAAGGTCGTAGGGTTGGGAGTTCCCCGGCTCAGTCCTCCCAGTCTGGACGCTGTGACGAGCCTCTGAAAACCCAGTCTGTCCACACAGCTGAACCAGAACATGAAGGAAGAAGACTTCCACAAGGACCTCCTCACATTACTCTGAAGGCTTCTCTGTACAGGTTAATGTAAACTGGAACTTTTTTTAAGGGTTTTCTTCCTGGTGGGTAACTCAAAACGATGCAGACTGTGGTTAAAAAGAATCTGTAAATTATTTCCAATAAACTTAAGAAAAGTGAAGGGTTTTTTTTGTTGTTCCTTTTGTCAAGGAAATAAAAATAAAATTTTAGCAATCTTGTCTCTTCCTCTTGAACGGTGTGTATTGCATTTCATAGACAAAACTGTTTATCCTCATTTAAGAAGTGTTTAAGGCAACTCCTTCAAGTTTTCTTATAATTACATTTACTTGCACTTTAACTGTTGCCAACTAATAAGTGCCATGTTGTGTTCCCAATTGCACCTTTTGCCTAATTTGCATGCCCTGCAATTTATACGCCAAAGTGACTTATTTATGGATGCCGTTTTGTCATATAATGGGTAAAAGTGGCTGTTGGACACAATCTGCTTGCCATAACGAGCCACCTTCATCCAGCTCGCTTGGAGCAACCATCAAATCATCACCCCAGTGAAATGCAGCTAATTTGACCATTTAAGTGCATTTATTAAGTAAAAGTTCAACCGAGACACAACTTTGCTATAATTTCGAGCAAACAAATACAGGTGCTGGTCATAAAATTGGAACATCATGAAAAACTTAATTTCAGTAATTCAAAAAGTGAAACTTGTATTTTCATTCATTACAGACTGATATTTTTCAAAAGTTTATTCTTTTAATATTGATTGACAACTAATGAAAACCCCAAATGTAAGGATCTCAGACAATCGGAATAGTAAGACCAATAAAATGTTTTTAAAAAGTACATTTAGAAATGTTGGCCAAAAGTATGAACATGAAAAGTATGAGCATGTACAGCATCAATACTTAGTAGTTGCTCCTTTTGCCTGGATTACTGCAGCGTGGCATGGAGTCGATCGGTCTGTGGCTCTGCTCAGGTGTGAGGAGTCCAGGTTGCTCTAATGGTGGCCTTCAGCTCTTCTGAATTGTTGGGTCTGGTGTATCACATCCTCTTTACAATACCCCATAGATTTTCTATGGTAAGGTCAGTCGAGTTTGCTGACCAATTAACGGGGATACCATGGTCCTTAAACCAGGTGTAGTTTTGGAACTGTGCAGGTGCCAAGAACTGTTGGAAAATTAAATCTACATCTCCATAAAGTTGGTCAGCAGCAGGAAACATGAAGTTCTCAAACTTCCTTTTAGATGGCTGCATTGACCTTTGACCTCAGAAAACAGTGGACCAACACCAGCTGATGACATGGAACCCCAAACCATAAGACTCGAAACTTGACACTGGACCTCAAGCAATGTGAATTCTGTGCCTCTCCTCTTCCTTTAGACTCTGGGACCTTGATTTTCAAAGGAAATGCAACATTTACTTTCATCAGAGAACATAACTTTGGACCACTCAGCAGCAATCCCAGGCGAGACGCTCCTGACAGTCTCTTGTTCAAGAGTGGCTTGACAAGGAATGCGACAGCTGAACCCCCATGTCTTGCATATGGCTATGCGTGGTGGTTCTTGAAGCAGATTCCAGCTGCAGTCCACTTTGTGCATCTCCCCAACATTTTAGAATGGGTTGTTTCACAATCCTCTCCAGGGTGCAGTTATCCATATTGCTTGTACACTTTTTCTAAATCTTTTCCTTCCCTTCGCCACTCTTATTTTAATGTTCTTGGACACAGAGCTCTGTGAACAGCCAGCCTCTTTAGCAATGACCTTTTGGGTCTTGCCCTCTTTGTTCAAGGTGTCAATGGTCGTCTTTTGGACAACTGTCTAGTCAACAGTCTTTCCCCATGATTGTGCAGCCTACAGAATTAGACCGAGACCACTTAAAGGCCTTTGCAGGTGTTTTGAATTGATTAGCCGATTAGTGTGGCACCAGGCGTCTAATACTTAACTTTTCACAATATTCTTAATTTGCCGATACTGAAATTGGGGTTTTCATTAGTTGTCAGTTAGAATCAACATTAAACATTTGAAATATATCAGTTTGTGTTAATGAATAAATAAAGTTTCACTTTTTGAATGGAATTACTAAAATAAACTTTTTCATGATATTCCAATTTTATGACCAGCACCTGTAATTTTTGTAAAGTGTGAATCTTGTTAAAGTCCTGTGTACTCTCCCACGACCGCTATTTGGCAGCCAGTCGATTATTGGCACAACACTGGTCCATATTTCCAGGTTGTCAGCGGTGACGCATAATAGATGCGACTTATACCGGACAATACGATGTCATGCTCAGACGCCGCCACATGTGGGAATGGCTGGGAGTCGTTTCTGGTCCCAGGTCAGCTGCTCTACCTCTACCCCATCCCAGTACCTCGCATGAACGAAGGATGAATCTATAAAACATTTAAAGACTGACTGTAGGATATAAAAGATTCACAGTAGGTTTTATTTCCACGTTTTATTGACATCTCATTTCTTGGCTTTGAAGTATTCTTCAATTACATCCTTGGCTTGAGACTCTTTGCCGTAATCCTGTAGACAGGAATAAAAATAAATTAAAATTTGGTCAAATTAAGTCATTTTTATATTACATGCATGAAAAATTGTAGAAAGTGTACAAAAGGCACATTGATCTAAGGTTTGTGTAAGTTAAAATTAAGACCCTTTGGGACCTACATGAATTACAAGTCACAATATTCAAGTAAATTTAAATTGCCTTTCATTTAAAACAGTCTAAAAATTCTACAATAAACCCGTTTCAGGAGCAGAGCACCTGGATATTTTCATGAGGAAACCTTAGTGTTTGTCTAAAACAATGGGGGCTGCTGCATGATGGGACTTTTGTTACAACCACAACACAAAAAGTCTTGGCAGCACAAAATGTGACAATGAACTGATGGACACATGCAACTAAATGCATTTTAGGATTTAAGAAATAGAAAACTGGACATGTTTTTACATTTTGAATTTAATCACTAAAAACCCTGTTGACTGCCCTTTAAACTTCACCTTAAAAACATCCTGATGCATGCTCAATAATGCAGGTAGAAAAATCTAACAAAGTTAAATCAGGTCCTCTGGACGGACTCACTTTGTGTCCATACAGAGGACCTGACTTTACTTTGTTGGATTAACCTTAAAAACATAATTTACCTTGATGACAACGCAGCTGCAGCCGACAACCTTTCGGGGTTTTCCTTCGCGGTCGATCTTGCACAGACCGACCCACTCACCGAGCTTCTTGTTGTCATCAACCTGCAATTCAAGTTCATGGAGGGGAAACAAAAAAAAGAGCCTGTTGAAAACTTAATGTAGAAGCACCACCACCTTAAACTACACAGCATGGGTTCTTGTGGCAGGCAGAAAGAACAGATGCCTCAGTGTCACATTTATAAAGGATCAAGTAGAAGCAGTGTGTACTGGCGTGTATCTCAGACAAAAATTGGGTAACAATGGCAATTTCCTCACAGCGTTCAGAAGAGGGAGCCAGATAATCATCAGCGATACAGCCGAACCATTTAAAGTTATCAGTCTAACACGGCTTCTGCAAAAACTAACTAAAGTTTTGGTTTTTATGATGCCAAACACCAAATTATAAACTTTACCTTGATCAGGTTGATCTGATGCTCAGCGCAGAGAGCCTCCACCAGCTTGACGTACATGGGCTCGTCACAGTTGGCAGCCAGAACGCAGAGATGGGCCTGACGTCTGTGTATAATAAAAATTAAGTTAGGAGCATGATAGGATTTGAGCACAATCAAAACAGTAAGTTCCATTTGAAAAAACTAACTGCGGACTTCTACTTATACTCAGCTGAAACCATTGTCTTAAAGTCAACAAATCACGAGAGCTCAGAATTACGTCTGCGTTCTAAATATGCAACAGTAGACTCCTGCACGCAGCTACAGAGACGACGATGCACCAGACGATCACAGTTTCTGTCATGTTTGTTCAAACTGCTGCCACACAGTGATCATGTCAAGACAGAAGACTTTTTGGTGCATTTATAAAATTGTTTTTAACTTTACAGGAAATTGTGGCATTACAGTTCTTTTTGTACATTTCAACTAGCGATAAGTCAGTCAGGCACTTTAGTTGTTCTCCACCCCCCACACCCTTAAATTTTAATAAATAAGCACTAAAGTACATCTGTAACTTCCATTTAGCCAGATTTTGTTTCATGGTGTTGAACTCAAATGAAATGGTAAATTGACTGTACTTGTATAGCATCTAATCAATAAGGGTGCACCGATAAATCAGGGCGGCCAATTTATTGGCCCAGATTTCTTTAGTTTTGGGAAATCGAAAATTGGCCAATACCTTCATGAGAAACCAATTTTACACTTTTTTTTTTATTTAAGTTTTAACAACAATTTTCTGAACGTCCTTGATATTTCAGAGCACTACCTGATGGCCAGTTAAAACAAGTTTGTATTGTTTCTAGGATATTGTTCAAGGGCATGTTTAGTAAAATAAGATGGGAAACTTTAAGGTGCATTGTGACCTTATAACACCTGACAGTGTTGGGTATAAAACAAAATCGGAATCGGCTGGTCAGACTTTTTAGAAATCAGTGATCGGCCAGAAAACTGCAACCGATGCACCTCTACTTACTCTACAAAGGTAATCTGAACAATTTCTACAGACTAATCGGTTTTTTATCACATTCATACACCAATGACACCTATCGGAGGCAATGAGGGGTCCACTGCCTTGCCTAAGGACACATCGGCATGTGACTGTTAGTGGAATCGAACCCCCAACCCTCCCATTGGAGGACAACTGCTCTAACCACTCAGCCACAGCTGCCCTAGTGACAGGAGTATGGGCACGAGTCCTCCATCAAGATGTACTACCCTTCCAGGACCTGCAGCTCAGTAAACGACCGTCCCAACAGACAAACCCGTCTGCTCTGATTGGACTGTTCAATTTGGGATTGACATGACGTTGACCAATCAGCCGAGAGGAACAAACGTCCTGTCACTGCAAGCTCAAACTCACAAAGTTAGGGAACTTGAGCACAGGTTTACTTTTCTTTTTTTTTTGCTTTGTATCTGGAAACAGGCCTCAATTTTTTTTTCAATATGTGATTTTATAAAAATACTTTTTTTTACACATTTTACCTGCACTCAAAACCAATTCTCAGCCATTTTATTTTACAAGTTACAAAAACGTAATTCACAACTACAAAACATGCATGACTGGGATTGGAACCCATACAGATGCCACGAGTTTCATAAAGAAAACAGTAATAAATGTTTGATATATAAAGTTACAGGGGCAGCTTCTTCATATCCTCGTGGACAACTGTTTGATTTCCAACTCAAAACATTTCCAGATGCAGTTAATATGCACATTCTTATCATTTTCACCAGTATTCCTTATGTTTAGACACACTACATATGTAAAGTTTTCAACTACAACTCTATAGTACAAAACTAAAATTTGTTTCATGCCTCTTAAACTGATACATCCGACATTTTTTCCAAATGTCGCACAGAAATTAATATTCATCAACAAAAAATAAAGATGAGGATGCGTCTAACTTACTTGTCCAGAGCCTTGGCAGCCTCACGGATACCGCGGGCAAGGCCATCGTGGATAAGTGCGGTCTTGAGCACTTCAGGGAGAGCGGTGTTGACATCCATCACACCTCCGGCAGCAGTGCTATCAAAACAAAGAGAAGCGTTAATAAAAATCAGCGTTCTCTTTGCAACACTGCCACGATGAGTGGGTGTGGTTGTATGGAGCTTCTGGCATGTCAGAAAGAGGTTTTCACTCATTGGAGAGTGAAGGGGTATCCGACAAAATGCGAATCATCATTCAACACCAAAAGTGGAAAACAAAGTGGTCAAACTGTTCGGTTTACAGCTGTAAGCAAATCAAAAACTTGGAATTTTAATGTTTTTAAAGTAATATTCTGCACGTCTAGGCAGTCTCATTTTGCTTCATGAAATCAGATTTCAGTTTTAAACTTGTACTCAGCTGAAATGAAAAAATAAAAAAACATTTGCTGATGGCCAAGAATGACACCTCAATGTATTCATGAGCAGCTGTGGAGTGAAGCGGTGTACACAGCACAGTATATCAATAAGCAGCATTTCTTATTTATTATATGAAGGAAATGTTACAACATTTTGTAATTAAATTAACTTTTCTGTACGTGCAATGAAAAAGACACACGAGGCAAATAAAAACCATCAGGGACCATTACAGCAGATGTGACAAGACCTAAGAGCTACATTTAAGATTTTAATTTAAACTAATTTTTATCCTAATTTAATCTCGAGAGCTACATTTAAAATATTTTTTGTAGGGGGGGGGTGGGGTGTTCAGAAGGACCAGATTTGGTCTTTGGCCTTGAGTTTGACATGTTTGGACTTAGTTATAATAAATAAAAAGGGATGGAGGAGGAATAACAACTGAACATTATAAGCAAAGTACACATCAGCAAAGTAGAGAAAACAAAAACAATAACAAGTACACAAACATGAAACAGCTGCTGGACAGATTTAATATCTACAAACTTCCATGAGGAATATAAAGGAGGTTCCTACAGGAATAGTTTTCATCTCAGCCCAGGCTGCAGAACATCTGCTGATGTTAAACGATTTACCGATGAGCAAACCACAACAAATTATTTTTTTATTTATTTACTGTATCCGTCTTGCTCTACAAATTTGATTTGACAGCTTCTACTGATGTTTGTGATGCTGGCAAGACATTTTCATCAGTGTTTTAACAGTCTGCCTTCACTAAACATCTATTTCTAATATTTCTCTTGTCTGTTCATCTATTTCTGAGACTAACCTGTATAATTAAAGGCTGAATGAAATCTATGTTGATGATGATAAACTAATCCAGACTCCTACTTGAAGTTATTGAGAAGGCTGTTTATTTGGGAGTGAAAAGGATGGAATGGCCTGCGTGCAGTCCTAACCATAACCCCTTAGAAAATCCAAGGTTTCAACTGGGGTGTACTGGTTTCTGAGTAACCAGTAAAGCCACACTGATCTGCAACAAATACTGATTGTAGAATTTAATGCCATCTTATTGCAGACCAAGGTGTTGGTGCCAGGCTGTGTGGTTCCTCCATGTGGAACCGGGCCCTGAACACTCCATCTGAAGCTTGATTCATTTCTTTCTCAGTTAGAATAAAAGTCTTTGGCATAAAACTGAATAAATTAGCAAGTTTTTATTTCCCATGGGCCCAAGTACTGAATGTTTCTCAACCAACAAATGCATCTTTGTATCACATGCGGCCCAATTTCAAGAGAAATGAGCTTCATTAAACAGTATTATTGTAAAGATTAAAATAAGCTTTTTGTTCCAAGTTTACATGCAGAATGGACTGTTGCCCAATGAGCCTGGTTTTAATGCTCGAGCATTTGGATGTTAAAAATATGAGCCTAAGAGGTAAAAACGCCCAGTTTTGTTCAATCTTGGTCTTATTAGATCTGAGCTCATTACAGCTGCCCAGAAGATCCTCAATGCGCTCAGAACAACGTCTGAACTTGCACCCGAGCTAGCATTTAGCTATGGTGTTTACGTCAACAAAACTAAAACAAAAAATGAGCAACACGTCCCTCATCCACGCACATCGTCTATAGATAATACAGCTTTGTTAAAACACTTCATCATAAATGATTTAACTTAAAAGTCCAAAAGAAAAGCGTCATGCTCACCCTTCCTCGGCCATTGTAGATTTGCGATGGATGGCGAACCCAAAGTTCTGAAATACAGTACAAATACAACAGGGGAGTTGTTATTCAACTCTAACGACATGATGTAGTTCATTTAAAAATTAAGATGCTTAAGAAATAGTGCAGATTGTGCCGACAGATGTGAAAACACACCCTGTTCTCCTCTCGGATAGCGGGGAAAGAGGACGTCACATTTCAGCGACAGCAGTTAATCACCGACAGGCCCCAACGCTCCATAGTTAGGCGTCCGACGCGCTGCCTATTGTAGTTTTCACTCATTTTTTTAAAACCGAAAACGTGTGTTTCTTGTGTATACATGCCACATAATTTTGTACATCTGTTTAAAATGTTTAATAATAATAATTTTTTAAAAACCGAATACGAATTTATATGAATACGTAGAAGTCCTTCGGATGAAGGATAAAACGTCTCAGCGACTAAAGAAACTGTGCAGTTTTTTTTTTTTTTACATTTAACAATAATAACGAAAAAAAACATACAAAAAATGCGAATGACAATATTACATTTAACAAATCTA